CTCGTTAAAATATTATTTCGTGGTTCATCATTTGAACAGTAAAAAGCACGATGTAGCAAAAGTAAAAGGCTTTAGCTTGCGCGCCATTTAGTATAAAAACAACTTAAACCTGCCTTGTTTCTTTTATGTCGTATATTTTTTTGTGATTGTGTTGTGGGATCGATTGTGTTTGATGGAGGATGTTTTATGATTTTAATACCATCTATGGGCACTTGCAATTTCATTAAGTCCAAAAAATTGGAGTCAAATATTTTTTTCACCTCTTCTTATGAAATGATTGTGACAATGCGATTTGTTCTTGACAGATAAAGTGTATATCTTCTCAGAACATTATATCAAAATGTACAGACAATACATATCACAGTAAAAATAAAAGCACAATTAACTTTTATTCTTACTGTGAGGGTATTGAACAATAGAATTAGAGTTTCGTTTCAATTTTTCAACCTTGGTCAGTTTAACAGGAAACACATATTCGAGGGGATTTCCTGCATTAGAATGTCTAATATTACTGTTTCAGATGTCACTCAGTCACTAATATTAAGTACGGACACCCCTGATACAGATCAATGCATTAAGACATCGTGGCATACTGTCCACAAGCTTGTTGATGGTGCCAATGGACAGGGCGTCCCACTCTTCAATCAGATCCCAAAGTCAGGAATTTGTTAAACCTGGTAAATGGGTCTTAGTATGTAATCATTGCACTTGATCAAAAGTGATTACTGATGTGTTTAAATAGGATTAAAAAGAGGAACGTGTCTGAAAACAAAAGATATTCCAACTTTATGGGCATTAGTGTATATTGTTAACTAACACATGCGTTCTTCAAACACTTCCATCCTTTTGCGAATCAGAGTTGTGTCCATAAGATCTGGCGTTGGTTGAGCGCTGAGATGTTGTAACTTTGCCACTGCCTCGTTCTGCACAAGGAATCTTGCTGCCACTCTTAATCATCAAACCGGACTTCTCATCACTCAGCTTTCGAGCCACACCTGGCTACACCCTATATGACGGATCGCTTCTCACCATGTTCTCAGTTCACACGGCCGAGCTAATGTTAGCTGACGGGGGGCGCGCTGGTGAATTGTGGGAAACGTGGTTCGGTGGCAGATTTTTTAGCTCAGTGAGAAGGCTTTGCTGATGTTCACATTCACTACAACTTCCATCACAGATCAGAGCTAGACGATATTTTAACACAGATGGACAAACGCTCAGACGCACCATCGTGAAGATCTTTTGCACGGGTGTCACTGAGATCAATTTTTAAAGTCGGATTAGCAGCTGTAATGTTGGTGTTAGTTTCAGAAATGGGTTTCCATTCCTGAAATTGCTGCAGCAACACTGAAGTAGCTGATTTTTTTCCCTTTTAGTGTGGATGGTGCACATATTATGCATTTTTTTTTCTATTAACATGAACTTGTGAAGTAATTTCCACTGTTAAATCCTGCCATAGCTTCCAATTTAATGTGGATACATGTCAGGCCAAAGAAGGAAACATTTTATCCGTACATCAGCGCACTAAAAATTAAAGATACACTTTATATTCATGAATTATTTGCTCAGAGCCCTCATGTAGAAAATTCATGTTACTGACTTTGATGGTTTTGCAGGAGATTCACTGGACAAACAGTTTAAATGTAATTCACCTCTGTAACTGCCGTGCTTAACACTGAGTCATCCGGGCTCGCACCATTATAGAAACCACTTCATGCTACAGTGGTATCTGCTTTCTCGCAGAGCCAAAAATAAGCAGAGGAGGGGGATTGTTATGTAGCGTTGTCACATGAATATATGCACGCGCTCGCACACACGCAACGCATAGCGATAGTTTCCTGGTGGTTGTCAGCAAGGAGTGTCAGATATTTCTCCTAATTCTGCCATTCATCACCGCAGCAGACAATGTGAAGATGGAGAGAATGCCTCCTCTGTTGGCTGTTTAGGAAATTGCTTTCTTGTTTTGCCATGACTTATAATTATAAAGTCAGCGCTGGTATGGGCACAGCACGCCTTCATCTGTATCATTCAGCTGAGATATAAACTGATCAGTGATGTCCTTACAAGAAGGCGACAATAAAGTGAGCAACATGCTTACATCTGAGAAACACCGTGAATGAAGCAAAGTATTGTTTTGGCTTTTTTTGTTTGTTTGTTTTAATTTGACACACTCCAAAAACATGTTGAGGTTAATTGGTGATTCTAAATTGTCCGTAGGTGTGAATGTGAGTGTGCTTGGTTGTCTGTCTCTAAGTGTAGCCCTGTGATAGACTGGTGAACTGTCCAGGGTGTCCCCAGCTGTGATAGGCTCAAGCCCCACCACAACCCTAGTGAGGATTAAGCAGTGAATAGATAATGGATGGATGGATTGAGAAATCTCTCCCAAACTGTATCTTCAGACATAGGTTGTGGGTATAAGACTGCCACTGGACGTGCATTTCATGTGGCTTTTTTCTCCCTTTGCACTATCTGTGTGTCACCATTTTCAAAATCCCTTTCACTACAAGAAGCAACAATCTCTGAGCAGCGACCTACATGCTGAAGGATCATGCAGTGAAGCAGCCCTGCTATTTTTTTTCACTGGATTATCCATTTTAACCCTATTCAGGACTTCCATGTTTTCATACGTAGAAGGTCTTTCAGGGTCCATTGGACTCCAAGAAAGAATTTGTGCAAAATATTTGTTGGTGTTCATTATAGACTTTTATATTATGTAAATAATGTATATTTTCTGATAAGTTGGTGTATTTTTGGTTCCAAATGCATGAAAAATGCCCCTCTTTTTATATTTATAAAAAATCTTTGAAAATAAAAAACAATACCTGTCACCTAAACCAAATGACCTGGGATCCAAAAGACCCCAAAAGTCCTGAATAGGGTCAAGGCCCTTACCTCCCTGCATGCAAATTGTTGTTGTTGTTGTTTTTTTTTTTATTTCATTTTTCTTTTTTTTTAAACTTTATTGTCCATTTGTATATCTTATCTTGTTTCCTATTATGCTTCATTTGTATGTAGCAGCTGTAACTTGTGAATCCCCCTGAGAGGGATCACTAAAGTTTGTCTTATCTTAAACGATCCAACAAAAACAATTTGCGTGTCCCGTGTTTTAAGAGAACTCTATCGATGCATCCTGTTCTTGGCTCAGCTCAAGACGATTGTGATTGCTTCACAGAAATAAAAACATAGCAATGCTTAATTTTTTTTCAGCCACTATAGCAGAATGATGATGAGGTGCGGTCAGACCATTCTGCACAGCGTTGGTCGGCGCTACAGAAGGGTCTGGTTATGTCTAACGAGCTGTAGGCTAACGAGCAGCACTGACCGTGTGTGTGGAGTGTGTGCACGTCTGTGTGATCACTTAGACTGAAACTCCAGTTCTTTGTTTATTTCTCTTTTCTTTCTCCTCTTCCTGCTCATCTTCCTACATTTATGAAGTAGATTCAGAAATTCCCAGCAAAGTCCAGACGTCTGAATGCCTGAGTTTGTGCACTAAGGCCACTTTTCACAGCATTTTGTAAAATCTCACCATTAACTATGAGAACTTGTTCTTCCTGCGAACGTCTCTGGATCTGGAGCTTCATGTCTCTAATATGGCCTCACCAACCCCCAAAATATTTATTTTGTCTGTTCTATTGCTGCTTTCCATCTGCTATCCTGCTATCCCTACCCCTCATCCTCACTCTCACCCCAACCAGTCGAGGCAGATGGACACTTTTCCTGTGCCTGGTTCTGTTGGGGTTCTTTTTTCCTCCCTCTCCCTGGGTTTTTTTTTTTTTTTTTTTTGGTTCCTTCCCACAGTTGCCGACCGCTTGCTCAGAGGAAGTCCAAAGGCAACTTTGGATTGTTGGGTTCTCTGTTTAACTTCGTAAAGTCTTCATCCTACTATGTTAAGTGACATGACATGTTGTAAATTGCACTAATTGATTTTGGATCCAAAATCTACCTTAAAGCACATTTGTGAAAAAAATCTTTCGTTTGTTGTAAATGGGATGTAAACAGTCAGTATATTCTTGCTTTTATTTTCGATCTACTTGACTTTATCATTATATTAAGCAACCTTTACACTGTGTCACAACTTTGACGACTACTTTCGGATGAATATGTTTCAATGTGGAGACAGGCTTTAGTTCACTGGAAACCGTTGGGATTTCTTAAACGTTCTACCAACCTGAAGAGAAAATTCAAACTCAGATTTTCATCCTTTAAAACCACTCTGAGGCTCCCAGTCACAATATCAATCCAGATAATTTTCTGTCCAACCTAAATAAACGATTAAAAACCCAATCACATCTCTTCCCTTCGAGGCAGCGATGTGCTCTCCCTCAGCGCTATTCTTCCTTTAGTGATTTATGACCAAACACATCCTACCTTTTGGCCCATAGATGTGAAACCTCAGACCGTCGGACCATTACAAAATGTGAATAATCTGACACCGTGTACCAGAGCTGGAGACCGGACCCGTCCAATGATTCAGCAGCTAAATTGATCCCGACACCTACTGAGTGACTGATGGCATTCCCAGAACCCCGGTGCATCCCTTCATTGGCCAGACTATGCGAGTGTTCGTGTGTCTGCGGGTGTGTGTTTGTGTGCGACTGTGGAGGTGATAATCAGCAGTGGCTATGTGTGTGTGTGGGGGGGAGGACTTTCTTGTCCCTGTTGTTGTGTAGCTTGTCCTGGGCAGGGACTCCCATTTGGTTCAACTCACCCCCCTCCTGCCATCCCCTGAGCCCACCTCTCCTTTTATTCCCTCTTAAACTTCACTCAGTCAGCCTCCTGTTTCCCTTTGAAGAGGCACTGCTCTGACTTCCCCATCTCTCGACGCTGGGCAGAACGCGGGGAAAGTCTTAGAAGTGTGTGTGTGTGTGTGTGTAGCACAGTTAACGGGGGACAAAGAGTCGGTGAGTCGAGGCTAAAGGGGGGCTCTGCTGCCTTTGCTGCCGTCGATCAGGAGTAGCTGAGTGGAAGAGACCCTGCTGAAGTGCTCAGCAGCCAGTCTCTTCCCGCCTGTCATCTGTCCATCCAGTCAGGGGAGAGAAGAACAGAGCAGCCCGAGAGAAAGTTGCCTCATCAGGACTTGCTGTCTTTGGACTGTGGTAGTTATTTCTAAAGGGGGGTGTTTGGGGGAGGTTAGGGGTGTTGAGGCTGCAGGTGGTGCTAGGGAGTTTGTTTTGCCATGCAGCAGGCTTGGGATCAGACAAGTAGCATTGAGAGTGCAAAACAAGGCCACACAAAAATGCTGGGAAAAGGACAAAGTGGCGGATATCTCCCCGAGACGACGAGCGAAGCCTTGCAGAGGTAAGAGGACATCACGTAAAGCACAAAATCAGAAGGTATACGGAGTACGGGCCCACGCCTGCCGCTCACATGGCTGTGAGAGGCAAGGAATCCACATGGGATTTGGGTGTTGGCATTCATGAGTAATCTGTAATTTCCTAAACTAGCTTTTGCCGGTGGAAGATATCACATCTGTGCTGGAACGTCCGGCCGCATGAAATCTCCCGCAGAGTGTCTGGTCTGAATTTGATAACAATAAAGTTACTATCTGCGGTCGGCTTAAGGAGAAGCGTTTGGGCATTTCCAGTGACGCAATATTCAGTGTAGCAGCACAGAGTTCCTTTTACTGGACTCGTCTCTGTGTTGGAGTGAAAATGTAAATATGAAGAAAAATTTGAGCAAACTGTGTGAAACTTCCCTTTAATGTTGCTGTTTTTAAAGCATATTGGCACGCTAATACAGATTTAGAAATGTTCTGACGTTAAATAGAATATTTTGAGGGCTCGAGTTGTCTTAATGTCGCTGCTGTTGTTTTAAAAAAAAGGAAAAAAAGTATTTACAAAGTGGCAAATTATATATAACCTACAAAAGTCTGTAAAATTAAGAACTTCATTGCCATAAAAAGTAAGTGTAGATCAACAGTGTTTGTACCGAAAACTGCCAAAAAAAAATGTGACCAGATTTTTTTTATCTACGCTGCAACAACTGGTAACTGACTATATGTTTTTATCTTACACGTTTCAAATTGTACGTACCATTGAACTAAATCTGTCATCTTTTTTGAAATTTCAGACAAAAAAATAGATGAAAGTTGAATTTTATTTCGAATTTTGCCAACAATTTGAACATTGTGTACATTTAGAAGATTAAATTATGTATTATTTTTTTCTTTTTATGAAAAAAAACCATCAGAATTTATAACCATTTTTAAACATTTAGCTGTCGTATAAGGGTTTAAATATATTTTATCCTCCAATTTATATTCAATTAACTGCTGGCTGCTATGTAATTACTCTTAAACTATCCATTGTTAACAGTTAAGGAATAAATTGCCTTTTTTTTTGGTTATTATTTTGCTTGTTCAAACATAGGCCACAATTCAAATGACATATTTTTCAGTCTCTACTGTGTACAAAAAAACCACCAAATTAAAACACTGAACAAATTGTACGTTGAATAAAACATTCATAGATTCAGGAAACATTTTAGTTGGATATTTGAAATGTGGAGATTTCAGCGTATTGTCTCTCAGCCACATAGCATCCGGTGAAGTCTTTTAACATTTCGGCCTCTTGCTGTGAAAATACGTCAAGGCCCTGAATTAAGTTTGTCAGCGTCGTTTTATATATATATATATATATGGCCTCTTGCTGTGAAAATACGTCAAGGCCCTGAATTAAGTTTGTCAGCGTC